GAGACAGCTGTCGGCAGTAGGTGGGGGGGCTGTTTGGACCTGGGATGCCGTCCTCTTCTGCCACCCCCTTGGAGAGGCTGGAAGGGTCTTGGCGGCCGTGGGTTGTAGCCGAGGCGGAAGTCCCTCTGCTCGTGCGCGCTCTCTCTCTCTGTCTCTGTGACGTCTTTCGTTCCCACCCCCCATGGCTAGGGACCCCAGGCTCTTGAATGCCTTCTTGCACCCTAGTTCCTACCCTGGCCCAAGCAATGGGTATGGATAAAACTTTGCAAACCTTCGTGCGCAGGGTTCTGGCTGGTGCGTGGCATCTGCAAGCTGCTTTTATCCCCAATCTCTGCCTCTCGCACACGCACGGACACTCTGCCACAGGGACTTCGGTATCTCCTGCTCCATTTGCTGTTATTGTTTCTCATCCATCGTGGGCTGGAGAACGCCGCCACCCTAAAAAAAGAGAAGCGTGATGATCAACTTTATTTCTGTAAATTCAGAATGTATGTTTGCATATTCACCGTCATTATCTTTAATACTGTCTTTTAATCATGTAATCTGGCTTGGGCCTTTTTAAGGAGAAAGGTGGGGGTAAAAATATTTTAAATAAAATAAGCGTAAATACTGTAAGTAAAAGAGAATCGAGGTGGCGCTGCAGGTTAAACTGCAGAAGCCTCAGTGCTGCGGGGTTAGAAGCCCAGCCGTTGTAAGATCGAATCCATGCGACGGAGTGAGCTCCCATTGCTTGTCCCAGCTCCTCGCCAACCTAGCAGTTCAAAAACATGTAAAAATGTGAGTAGATAAATAGGGACCACCTCGGTGGGAAGGTAACGGCATTCCGTGTCTAGTCGCGCTGGCCACGTGACCACGGAAACTGTCTTCAGACAAACGCTGGCTCTATGGCTTGGAAATGGGGATGAGCACTGCGCCTTAGAGTTGGACACGACTGGACTAAATGTCAAGGGGAACCTTTACCTTACTGTAAGTAAGATAAGAATTGCTTCACAGGTGGTTTTATTTTTAGGGTTTTTTATTTTATATATATCTTTATATATATAGGGACTAAATGTCAAGTGGAACCTTTATCTTACTGTAAGTAAAATAAGAATTGCTTCACAGGTGGTTTGATTTTTAGGGTTTTTTGTTTTATATATATCTTTATATATATATTAATCTATACATGTGTGCAAAGGCTACTCTGAACTTCCTGGACCCCATAGATACCCTCTGAAAAGGCTTCAGATCCTCAGAGTTCTTTCCAGAGGCAAGAGGGAGCGATGGTTAGTGTAGTGTACGAGTGTGTGACCAATGTGTTGTCGTGTCTGAAGTGTCTGCCTACATCCAGAGGGACCCAGGTTTGTGTTTCTACTTTGTTATGAGCTTCACCTAGATGATCACAGACCAGCTGTCATTAAAGTCTGCTAAAGTGTTTGTAAAATTGTTTTACATTTCAGAATTGAGAAATGCTTTTTTTTAAAAAATATATAGCTTTGGATGGCATTTCTAAACGGTGAGCATTGTATAGTTGCAATGGTTGTGAGCCCTCTCTCTGGAGAGGAAGATCGCATATAAGTAAATAAATACAGTAAATAAACAAACATCAGCCATCTTTTTTTTATCAGGGTGGTCATGAAGACGACCACCAGCTCTCAGATCAAGCCAGGAACGGGGCTGCTGAGCTTCGTAGTCCTAGTCCCGGCCTTCTGTCTGAATCTGACTATAATGCATTCTGAGTGCGATGATGATCCGGTTTTCCCCCCACAAAAGCCGAGGTGACCTCCTCCTTCTCCTCCTCCAGCAGCCCGTGTTTTCTTAATGCCAATCGGAGAGGGCGGCTGATGTGTTGACACCACAGGCCTGATCCTGGCTCAGCTGGATGGGAGCTGCCCTATCTTGTTTAGACAGCCGTCTGGGCTGGGATGTCCCGGCGTCCTTTTCGGCACGCCTGTCTGCTTTACACTCCACAGCTCCTGGGGCTTCACAATCCTCGGGAAACCCACCCCACCGCCTTGCGGTCGGCGGTGAGGCAGAGAAAACCGAGGACGACGTCATGGCTGGGTTGCTAAGGGGACGGACGGAACGGCTGGAAAGCCGCCTTGGCTAGCTAGCCTGGACGCTTGCGCTCCCTCCTCTCCACCCGCCGAGAAGCTTGGGTGCTCTTTGTAGAGCGAACCAGCCGGCAACGGTATTGGGGGGGGGAGGCTTGTGCTGAGCCCGGTTCTAATCTCGGCTAAGACGGACCGGACAGTCGCCGTCTCTGAGCCTGACCAACCTCACAGGGTTGTTGTGAGAGGTGGAAAAGCTCGCACGGCGCCTTGCGCTTGTTAGAGGAAAGGTGGGAGATAAGTATAAAAGTTGCAGCAGCCTCGAAAACTGAAGAAGACAACCTGCCCATTTCAGTTTTTAATTGTTTCCAGTTTCTAGGTCTTGGTTTGTGACTTTTAATAAAAAAGAAACAGTTTTTTTTAAACATGCATTTTGGGGATGGTTCTCCTCCTACAGCTGCGGTATCACCACTGACCCCATCAGCTCCAGCCAGCATGGGTGATGGTAGGGGATGAGGGGGCTTGTAGTTCTCAATGCCCAAAGAGCATTCCATTACTGGCAAAAACTCTGCACTCAGAGCTGGGGGAAATATTTTTCTTTTTTGATCCTAACCTCCCCCCCCGACTATGCCGGCTGGAGAATCGTGATCTGTAGCCTCCCAGAATCATTTCCAAATCTCTGACCACCCATGAGCTAGCCTTTACTTAAAAAAAACAGCTAAAATCATCTGCCCAGACCTAGCGATGGAAATGCTAAAGGTCAGCCTGTGGGCTACACAGAGTTCTTCTTCAGAGCTGTGTTCTCTTGAGGAAGGAGCTTCGGTGTCTCCATGCCACGTGATCATGTCCTCCCGGGTGTATCCTTTGCCCAAGACCCCATTGGTTCCGGCTCTCATTGGCAAAGAAACCTGAGAATAACTCAGCTGTGTTTGAAACAATTCTGTATCTCCTTCCAAAATTCCTTAATTTGGCTCCTGTGAAGTGCGCCATCCAAGGAGGCGACGTTGCTAGGATACCTCCCTAAAGCATAAGCAACGTGACTGCTATGGAGGGAGAAGCAATACCAGCTTCTCACATATTAGCTTAGGCACTGTGTGTATTTATGCCAGTCTCCTCCTTTGTTTGAAAAAAGAAAAATAAAAAAGGACGTATTGATGGGGAAGGTACCGCTAGTGACCCATTACATGGCCTGCAGGAAGCGCTCCTTGTTATGTCGCACAGAAGCAAGGAAATTCTCCCACCCACGGCCGGAAGATGTTAACGGTGAAATCAGAGTTGTGAATTTTAATAGAATTGTGTCTGAAATTTCTGCTGGTCTAGAAACATGGGCCAACTGGCCAGAACTGGCGCCAGTGCTTGGAAAGAATGCGTCAACGGCAAATGGGTTACAGTGGAACCGTTGGCTGTTTTTTTGAATCGCAGTGACCTTGGTAGGGCTTTCAGAATACTGTACGTGAGATGTTCAGGAAATGTCTTTCCATGGGCACCCCGCCCTCCAGTGAATTTCTGTGGCCGAGCAGGGATTTGAATCCAGGACTCCTGCCTGAGTCATAACCCAACACTCTATCCACAACCTCATTCTGGATCTGGATTTGACTGCACAGGTCGGGTTTTAGCTAGGATGAGACGACAGTTTGGGACCCCCCAGTCATCTCCAGGCAGAGGGTGGGTGTTGTGATGCAACAGGTGACGTGGGTTTTGTGTAGGAGATGGGATTTGTAGTCCAAGAGGACCTCTTGACTCCTGTTCTAGGCTTTGGGGAGAGCTTTTGGCCTTCCCCTCTCCAAAAGCTTTGGGGAGAGCTTTTGGAAACCACCCCCAGGTTCTCCTCCTGGTGCAGCTGCCGATGCACGTCCTCTCTTTGGCCGAGGTTTCCTGACCGCTGCTTGTTCTTCTGCCCCCCCAGCCATCAAGGTGAGCTGCGTCGGATCCTGCGGCGTATCGAACAAGATCAACGACTCGGCCTGGACCGTCGAGGAGCAGTACTTCAACTCCACCCTCTCCCTGGCCGATAAAGGTACACGAAACAACGAGGGGTGGGATGGCATCTCTGGGCACTGCAGCTCCCATCATCCTTTGGACTGGGAGTATTCTGGGGTGGGCCGTCCCAAAATGTCTCTTTTTTGAAGCTTTGGTTCTACCCACCTCCGGCTGGCAAGGTGGTGGCAGAACGCCCCCCCCGCCCCCCCCGGTTTGGTCCCTTTGCTTTTGTCCCTCTTGTTTGGCTGCTCCATAAAGAATTGCTTCTGGTGCCGTTTGTTTTATTCCATCAAATGTTTAAATTCCTCGTCATTTATCCATAGTTTCATTAGCATATGTTCTATTCATTGTTGTGGACTGCCCAAAGAAGTGCATCGTACTCAGGCGGCGGTGTACGAATCAAATGAATAAATGCATCCATGAATTCCCATGTAATCTGGAGGTGTTTGGGGCCCAATTCCAGGGTGTTGCGATGTGGATTCAGATCGCGGTCTTCCATGAGGTGTTTGCTGCGTGATTTTTTTTCCCCTACCCGTTTGGTGCATCCAAATACTTTCACCTGCTCCTCCTGTCCTGCCCCCCCCAGGAATGGGATGATTTTTCACTCTCTCTCTCTCTCACACACACACACACACACACACACACACAGAGAGAGAGAGAGAGAGAGAGAGAGAGAGAGAGGGAGGGAGGGAGAGACCCTGCTTTGCCCCCACCCAGCAAAGAAAAGGCTGTTCCTTACCCCTGGGATCGGCCTGGATCCGTGAGGGAAGGGCATTGCTAGGGCCTGGCACGTGTCCAGCCTTCTCCCCAGTGCTGGGCAAGACGGCACCTTCCACTGGCTGGTACGCAGGTTGCAAAAGGCGGAAATCATGGTTCAAATTCTTTTTTAAAAAACATAAAACCGGTCGGCTTTAAAAGAGCACCAGCTCTAATAGCGAATGTCCCCGAGAGGGGCGGGGTGGCTGGCGGGCAGAGGCATTTCAGCCGGCGGGCCAGAAGGGGGAAGAAGAAGAATAGGCAGACAGTGCCGGTGGAAGTTGGGATAGGGTCCCCCCTCGCTTGGCTCGGCTCCTGGCAGGGCCTGAACCCCACGGCCGCCCCAGCGGTGGACCTGCCATACAGAGGGAGGGTTGTAGGGGACCTCACTGAGAGCTTCTCCTTGTGGGGGGCTCACGATCACTTTCAAAAGATATTTGTGGCTTTGTTTCTTAAAGAAAACACAGCAGCATTGAGTAGATCTCCTTTTCGAAAAGGTCCCTAGGCGAGCGAGCAAGCGAGCAAGCAAGCAAGCAAGAATCCAGCCCTTAAAACAAAGCCAAGAATTAAGGCTTCTTAATGCAACTTGGAATTCATTTTTTTTCCTCCCCATGAGACCGTGGGCCCCCAGGCAGGTTCCCCCCGCCCCGACCTTATTCCATTAAACTCTTTGCTTGGAAATTTCCAGGACTATTAGTTTGCCTTTAAAGAGGTCACAGGGTTCCCCACCAAAAATGTCAATTTTTGAAATGGACTTCCTGTTGCTTTTTGTTTTGTTTTGTTTTCATATTTTGGGTGGTCCATGTGGCCTCTGGGGAAGTCCTTGGGGGCAGAAAATTAGCCCCGGGGCTCACTAAAATTGCGTTCTTCTGTCCTGAGGCTTTCGGCCACCTGCTGCGAATACACGGGTTTGCCCCTACTGTCTGTCAGGAAGGTAGACTACTCCTGTATATGGTGTCTCTATTTATTGGCTCTGGCCTTTCAGCCACTGATGGGTGACCTCCTTTTCCTTAAATTGGTCCAAGCCCCCCGTAGAAAAAACTTTTGAAGTCAGTAGCCAACTGACCTTGTGCAGCAGGGGGTGGGCAGATGCTGTCGGATTGCAATCCCCATGACATGTTGTCCAAGGTTTGGCAATTTGGAAAAGTGTTAGTCGTCATTAAAAATACGACGGATTGTTAGACCTGTTTTACAGCTTTTAATAGATCATTTTTAAAAAGAATATGTAAAAATAGTAAAGTTGCCTCCCAATTCCACCCCCCACAAAGAATCATTTTTAAGAGTCGTGAGTCAACATTACTTACAGATCTTAATGTTTTCCCCAGTTGTCCTGTTGTCTTTTAAAAGTAACAACGCTGGATAGATAACATGGTGATGGGCCAAAGTAGGTGGTTGTGTTTTCCCTCCGTTGTGTTCTTTCCAAGCCCTGTTGGAAATGATTCAACTCTGGATCAGGCTGGGAGGGAAGCCCTGTGTGTGCAAGGAGAGGAAAGGGGGTGTGATCTTGGATCATCCTTCCACCCTCCCCAACCTTGGCTAGTCTCCCACGTCTTTAATGAACGCGCGCGCCCCCCCTTCCCGCACAGGCAGGTGTGATCTCTCTCTCTCTTGCATCAATCCGTCTGCCTGCTTGCCTCCGTCGCCTTTGGCCCCAGCGCTTGGGTGTCCTTGGGCGGCTGCTCTGAAGGAGCCTCATTGGGAGGTAGAGGGGGTGGGTGACCTGCCGTGGACGAGCACAGCAGGAGCCCGAGGAGGAAGACGTGGGCCCTGCCCCTCGGAGGCCACCCGCTCCCCCCGCCCACGCCTCTTCCGGATTTGCTCTACGGGCACTTACGGCACCCTCGACTAGAACTGAACTTGGGGTTCGTTCTCATGGGGTAGAGCAACGTGTCTTTTTAATCAGTTGATCGTCTTCCCGTGCTGGATGTCACAGCACTAGCCGCTGGTGCTCTCTGCCTCTTCCCGGGTTGGGGGGGGCGCGTATGGGTTTTGTGTTGCATCCCATAGAAACAAAGCCGGCTGGGAAGGGAGCCCCAGAGCACAGACGTGGTCTCTTCAATCGTGTGCGCTGTTTTGGCCTCTTGGGTTGTTTTGGCTTTCATCTCCGGCCAGCATGCCTAGCGGTGAGAGGGATGAAGGCAGTTGTGACCTAAAACTGCGGTCCCCAACCTTTTTGGGTCCGCGGATCGGATGAGGGGAACGAGCTCCATGCACTGGGGGCGGGGACACCCTCGCACTGGCGCGGTGGGTGTGTTGCACCCGTGGGTGCAGTATGCCCCCTGCAAGTGTGACATGCCCCCCCATGTGTGCAGGGGTGGAGATCTGTATCTGCGGCCCATTTCCGGCAATCCCATGGACCGGCACCGGGCCGC